AGATTCTCTGTTGTCTGACGTTCCAGTTAAGGAAATTATTTTCCCCAGATATACATGGATGGGTGGAGATTATGTCAATAAAGTAATAATGGACCATTTACTAATTTTCGAACACAGACTTGCAAATAAATAGCCATTAATGTGGTTGCCAGCAGCAAACATGGTTTGCCTCCAGCCAGGGAAAATTGTGTGAGAGAATTTGAAGCATAAGCAAGGCCGTGCTGCATAAGACTAAGGGCCTGTCTAGTCCAGAGGCCTGTTTTGCCCAGATGATCATCATCATCATCTTAGAACTGCAGAGCTGGAAGGAACCCTATGGTTCGTTGAGTGTCCAGCCCTGACAAGCAGGCCCAGTGGGGAATTCGAACTCTCAGCCTCTCCACCTCTAAGCTACCAGGCAGTTCATGACGCTGGGTAGCCGATAAGCAGGACTTCACAAAGACAAAGGTGTGTAGAGACAATGGTATACCGTATAGCGCTATTGTTAGAAGAGGGAATATAATTTTGGAAACCTTTCTTTCAAGCTCTCTATGTATGTATTTTTCACACGTGTCTACATCATTCTTTCCTATGTAATATATTTGGGATTTTGTAGGTCATGATCAATATTTGTTTATCTTTCTGCCTGAGAGAGAACAGAAAATTAGTGCAGACTTTGGAGCGCTTAGTTACGACGTCACCTGTCCGGATGGGTGTGCCAGCACACGCTTTGCCCCCTGTCTCTTTCCTTTGGCTCCATGGATGGCGTGGGGGAACTGCACAGAGCTGATCCTTCACTTTGGGGGGAGGGGAATAGAGGAGTCGACATCGGGAATTGAGAGCAAACTCCACACGGTCAGTCACAGCTTTCCCCAGCATGTGCTAACTAGCATGCTCAAAGCCCCACATAAGAACAGCACGATAGTCCCACCACAGACTGCCCCCCATTTTAGGACCAACCTCTGCAAGAGATCCTATAGGCACCTTCACCTTGGACATGCCAAAATCAGCCTTCGTTGTGGTGTGGAGATACAGAGGGCGAGGCTTATAGGCCTCCCTGCCACCCACCATCCTTTCTGTCCAGCCGGGATTCATCTCACTCTGGCATTCCTGCCATGGGTCAAGAGAAGGATGAACATTTACCCCAAATGTCTTCTCCCACTTCTGTGTGCAGCACTAAAAGGCAGTGATTTGCAATGTGTTGTGGGCTTGATTTCAGACAAAGAACTGCCTTGGGATCATTTTCTACCTTTCCTTTGTGCTTAAGGGGTGGAGGTGATCCAATCATTTGAGAAGACTGGTCTCAATGGATGTGCGGATGGTGAACATGGACTGCCTTGGTCTTCTGAGCGTCTTCAGGGCAGTTAAATGCTTGGATGCAACGGCTGGGGAGACAAAAGATCAGGAACCATTTGACAAAAAGTAGCTCAGAAGCCGTTAAGAACGCCGATTTCCCCAGTGAGGGAAGGAACAAAGTAGAATTTCCTGGCTGCTATCATTGCACCAGTGCCACAGTTATGGAGCTCTTCTATGCCAGGCCCTCAAAAGGCATTTTATGCCATTTTACTTTTTATTAAGACATAAGACAGCCATTTTATATCATGTGCTATTAAAATCCGTGTGGGGAAGGTCTTGATGAACTAATGGCAGGTTTTAGCTACCAGCGGGAATCTTTATTTGGGATTTGAGCCACCAGTTCTTAGCATTTCTGTTAGGATATTTTAACTTTCGCACATACTTTTTTATTATAGGAAATTGTAGTATGTACTCTGTAGTTTGTTTTATTTGTACATTTGGATGTTGGGTTCTACACAGTATTAAAGACTTGTCCCACAAAAAACCACTGTGACAAATTCACACACAAAAAAACAAATTTGGGGAGAACATGGCTCATATCCATTCTGACATGGACTTTGTGTGAAAGAGGAGGTAAATGATACATCGTCTTGTCCCCATTTGACGGTGAGTTTCAGTCTGCTCAATTCCATAAATGTGGCCTGGGTAACTGAGGCCAACCACTTGTTCGTTATACCTGGGTCTACCCGGGCTGCCAGAGGAGGTGCTGGATAGCTAGATGGTGGAGGTTGCTTCCTTCTGAAAGAGGATGATGGTGCAGCCCCTCTTGTCAGGCAGGTTCAGACCCCCACCCCACCCTCGTAGCTTCAATTCCGTTTTGTACCAGCTGCCATGTGCAAACCTGTCTCTGACAGATCCCTGTAAAACGTCTGCTCATTCGTGAAATGGTGCAAGGCAGCTTCTGACCACATTGGCCCACCTCCTTTTTCGAGAGCCCCCGAGTCGGGCAACTCCCCGTAGTGCGTCTGGTGTGGACAAATAACTCTCAGCCTCCATCCACAACGCCGGGCCTCGGCTCTTGGCCAGCTCAGCTCCAGCCTGCAGGCAGTGCGTTAATTTGTCGAACTTGCCTTTTCTTTCTCATAAATTAGTCACTGTTTTATTGAAGAGAAATAGGAGCCCGACAAAGGCACCAGAGCAAGTCCCGACGGGAGCTCTGCAAAACGGCTGGTGGCTGTGGGGTGTGTGAGTGTTTGTATACATCTTGCGTTTCTTTTTCTGCTCAGAAAGCATTAATGTAAAGGGAATTTCAGTGTCTGCTCCAGGCATGGCTGGAGTGAGAACAAAACTCTGCTCTGAGGTTGGATTAGGAATCGTGTTTGGATAATGACATCTGAAGAACAAGATGGCTCGGAGCTGCTGCAGAGCCGCGGTGGGGAGGCGGGTGGCCTTTGAAAGAGAAGTGCCGTAATCCCACTTTGCTACTAAGGAACTGAACGCTGCGAGGGCAGGAGACCTGACTTGGCACGGATTAGGCCGGGTTTGCCGGGATGCCTTTAACAGCGCAAAGACAGCAGCAACACTCTGCCAAGGACTCGCTTGGTTTAGCACTCCTAAGGAAACCTAAGGCACAGTGCTTGTTGGGGGAGGGACATGACTGAGACCCATGCCCGTTTCTCGGGGGGGAGGGGGAGGCATAAGATGCACAGCACGCTTATCCTACAGAGAACTGCATCCCAAAATACCTGACTGGTGTGCACAAAGTTTGCTTGCAAACCACAACTGGACGTTAGGACACTTTCCACAGCCTTGGTTTACACATCTCAGATTGTGAGCGTAGTGTACTTTATACACACATACACACACACACACATACAGGAACAGCCAATGATGGTTTATTGTCTACTTGACAGTTGTAGGAGGAATAAGAACATAGAAAGGGTTAATGATGGTTTATTGTCTACTTGACAGTTGGAGGAATAAGAACATAGAAAGGGTCGGGATGGAGAGTGTGGAACCGAACCTTGTTTCTGAATGGAAAAGCAAATCATGGCCTGATGTTAGGAAGCCTCAATTGTTAGGGTCAATTAGTAATTAAGAGACGATCGATAAGAGGCTATATTTAAGCTCTGGGTGGTGTTGCATGGAACTCAGCAGTGCTTTTGCAGCCTGCAGAGGTGAGGCGTGGGAGGTACCTTTGCTGGGCCTAGGACTGAACTGTGGTCCGTCTGCTTTGGCAGGAAAAGGTCCAGACTGGTAAGCAGGGCAGCTGGCACAGGTTGCTTTGTGTTTTGGCCTGGCTTGCTGTGAGAACATGATCCTTATCCAGGGATGGCAACTATAGGGCAAGAAGCAGGCGAAAGCTAAGCATGCTCAAGGCCATGCTGACTTTGGTAGGAAGGTTTGGCATGCACTCGAAAGAGTTTTCATTTGAAATTTGTCAGTCTTACTTAAAAGTGTGTCTCTGGCTTCTGTCACTGGTTTCAGGGTAAGTCTATTGAGTGTGGAGCTTGGGGGTTGTAGCTGTTTGCGGCTCACAGAAGAGTGGAGAGAGCCAGCTGTACCTGAGGTGAGGCACACGGAGACCCTGGTTAGAACACGGCCTCATGGGCACTGAATGATCCTAACCCTGTTACATTGGTCTCTTAGCACCACATCCCTAAAGCTTCTCCTCCTTTTGTATTTATGAGAGAAGGTGGCAAGCCCTGTGGTGGAAATCCCAAGCGTAGCGTGTGAACATCAAGTGGGGAGCGTGTTGGTCAAGCAAGTCCCATTCTTTCCGCCCCTGTTCCTTGATTTCCGACACAGAGCTGACAACGAACGGCTTTCTGGGCAAGAGTGTCCTTGTGTGTAGTCTCTCCTACTGTTCAACTTATAATAATAACTCTCTGGGAACATTAGGGTGAGTGTTACCTCCTTCAGTGAACCTCTATCCTTCCCCACAACTGGATTTTCTCAGAAATCTACAAGTTGGCAGTTACGTTTGCTATCTCACCCTATGCTTACTTTCCCATATTCAACTGCAACACAAAGGATGTGAAAGGCAATATAGATAGATAAGGAGAACCACAGGCTACATGTCGCCAAGCCTCCGACTCCCTCCTAGGGAGGGTCCAGTTTGGCATGTAATGAACGCTCGGTCTAGTTCCCCAAGCGGGGAGAAAAATAATAACGAAAGAACTTCCTCTTCTCATTGTGGATCCTCTGTAACACTGACTTGCCCCCCCCCAAAAAAGCCTGAAGGAGATGGCCAAGCACCTCGAACGTTGAAGCTGGTCAAATGCATAACCCAACTTTTGTAGACACGAGTCAAAAGGCAGACGACGCTACAAACCTGCACAAAGCTGTGTTTGGTTGGCTTTTTTGTTTGTTTGTTTTTCCAGTTTTTATTGAGTGAAAATGTCAAACCTTGCATCAGTCATGCAAAAAAATAATAATCAAATAAATAAAACACATATATTAAATTTCTAATAGCACTAAATTCAAGTGGAAAAATATTCAGTTCTTAATAACAGGTGCTGAGGAGACCAAATTCAAGTAAAATCAGAGCACACCATCCTGTTTTAGGATTTTTTTTTACTTTCCGCATTATTATTTTTTGTTTCAAAACCTATATATAGCTATATATCTATATATATAAGTATATACATATAGATATATACACACACATATATATGTGCATACATATTATTTTTTTGTATTTATATATATATATATATATACACATACATATTTATAAAACATTAAAAAGAGCATTGGTAGTTCAAGCATCACTTCTTTTTCTCCCTCCCCCACTCCCCCCACACAGAAAGGAAAAATAATAATAATTAAAAACAACAAAAGAAAGTACACATTTTAAAATTCAAAATGAGCTAGCAATGGCTTATAGTCCTAGGTGTGCAATATGGATTTTACAAAAGGCTAGAATGCTCCATTGTAAGTTGTCCTCTCTGTATAATGTGTGTTTTAAGATCTAGGGCCATTTAGAGAAAGCTTTTTTTCATGTCATTTTATATTTTTTTTGCCACCCTGAAATAGGTTTCTCTTTCAAGACGTGTGAGTTTTGGATTTTTAAAATCCCTCCTCCCACTTTTTGTCTTTCTGAGGCAAAAGGGGTCTCCTTCGGATTCAGATGTTTTTGCTTTTCAAACAACTCCCCTTCCTCCTCCTTGGGGCTGGTGCTCCCTTTTTCTGATTCTAGTGTTCAGCACTTGATTTTAAAAAACCATGACCTCCCTATCCGGTCACTGCAGCTGGTCTTAGACCCGGCCTTCAGGTCAAAAGGACATTTCACAAGCTGCTCAGGCCATGGGCCGCGTCCCTCAACCCCTGGTGTCTCGCATTCGGTGCGGAGGCCTTAGCAGCCTCTGTGTGTGAGAGAGAGAAACATAATGTTCATCGGCCACTTTTTAGTCATCCTGCATTTTCATCCACCCCAACTTCAGTCTGGGGACTGAAAAAGGATAGCTATTTCTGACCAAATGTGATTCCACATAGGGACTGTATGGCATACTGCTAGGAGGAGGGGGGGGGAAACAAGCTTATTTCTTAAGAAATGGTGGCCTGTCATTCTCTAAATGACGGTGCTTCCCCACTTTGGGTCCCCAGATGTTCTTGGACGACAACTCCCAGAAATCCTGGCCCCAGCGCACATCTGGGGGCAAAGGCTTCTGGGAGTTGTAGCCCAGGATCACCTGGGTCCCAAGGTGGGGAGCCCCTGCCCTCAAATGACCTCCTCAGATCCATTACTGCAAGTTACACTTGCTCTGAGCTTGGAAAGCCCGTCCCATGACGTCCTCCTCTCATCCCTGCACACATTAAGTGCTGCTTCTTGAAACTGGAGGTGTCTCGGGGTGCTGTGGATCACATATATTTTTAAATTAATGTTTTGTTACTTTTTTAAGTAGAGGAAAAGAGACGGGAGGCTTGCACATTTGGGAACAGGCCAGAGGGGATCCACCCACACCTCTTCACTTGGTTTTAACCCACAAAACGTTTGGCTAGAAGAGGGGGGGAGTTTGGGGCCACGGGGGAGAAACGGCTACTGGGTGAGTAAGCCTGGAATAACAAGCCCTCTTCCGTGCCCCCTACTATGTAGTCACTGACCAAGTGACAAGATCTGCTGGGAGCTTTTATTGCAACAGCGAATGCACAAGAAGCAAGAAGCACCAGAGGGTTGCAAAACCCCGTCCACACACCTCCACCGTGGCTGCTGCTCAGAGGGTCTCTAGGGTGTCTGGGAGCTACTAACGTCAGTCAGATGTTACAGGGAAGCCCCCCACCATCCGTTAACATATTCACAGAGTAGTTTTAAACCTTGCCTCCCCCGCCGTTTGCACAGCATCACAGGTTCCCACAAAGCACCTTTTGGTGAGCGACAGTCCGCCTGATCTTCTGACTAACGACTCCCCGATTCTCCTTCCCCATTTTACTACAGTTAAGGAGGGCTGGAATAAAATCTCCCTGTGCTAGTCAGATAGTTTTGAATGCCACACAACTGTTGGTCTGACTCTTTATTTTTTCCTCTTCTCCCTCTCCCCCCCCCATGCCCCATCTTCCTTTTTGGTAAGGTGCCCCCCTCCCTCTCTCTGAAGTGGCGAGACCCATCGCTTTGTCTGAAAAGCTGTCGAGGGCGAGACCTGGCCCTGGCCTGGGTGCCGACGATCCTCAACACCCTACCAAGGTGTTCAGAGGACCACTGTCCCCCTCGACAAACGCTCAGAGGACTGCAGCCTCTTGGTGAGTTTTCCTTTTTTTCCCTTTAGCCTTTCTTCCTTTTTCTCTACCAATTTGGGGAGGGATGAGTCAGAAGATGCTGGACAGCGCCAGAAAAACAGCTGGCCCTTGCCCTTTCCAAAGCAAAACAGAGAGCAAACGGAAACAACCCCTGATGTTGAACCGGCACACAGCCTACGACTGGCCCATATAGGTGGTCTGTGAGTATGAAGACACGCACATGAGACTATTGCCTCTTTGTGTGTGATTCCTATGCGAGCTGAAATTCAGGTTCAGAACGGCTTGGTGATCAATACTGAGAATTGTAAAATAAGCAGGGGGAAGCCCCTGTCTCTGGTACCCACCCTCCCCCCTGCCCCGCACACACACTTGTTAATTGGGGGGGGGGAATAATAAATGAAAAAAAATGCTCTCACTTGAGGATAGGTGAGTAGAGTTGACAATTGAATGCAAGTAAACAAATAGGATACTGAAGGGCCTGTTTCTCAGTGGATACTCACAGAGTATTTAATCTTCGTATGGCTCTTTTTTCTTTTCCTTTTCCATATATATCTCTCTATATATATCTCTATATCTAGTAGTAACTTTACTGGGGGGGAAAAATACTGTACAGCTATTTTTTTTCCCTGGATATTTCTGTATCTTTTTCTTTGCCTTTTTTTTCTTCTTGCTTCTTCCCTAGTCAAAAAAATCTTACTGAATCACATCATCATCCTTGTGAGACCTGTTAAGTTGCTGGCGTGGGATTGTTCGACATGGAAATGTTTTAAACCTAAGACAAATAAAAGCTGTTTCTGCTCTGTGCTATAAAACGGCATGTCCACTGGACACTGACCGGGGGGGGGGGCTCGTTTCCTGCACCCGCTTTCTTTAGCTTTTAACGACCTGAAAGGAAAACCCTCTGAATCCAGCAGAGCTAAACGGGGCTTCAGGGTCTTCCATTTGGCCTGGAACCCATGCCTTTCCTCAACTCTTCCCTTACTCCTGGGGAGCTACCTGTCGGTTTGTGCTCCAAAGGACCCTGTCCTGTGGTGGCTTTGCTCAAAGGGACCCGAAGGCCTCCAGCGTAGTGCTTTCCGCCAGCTAGGACAGCGCGTGTGGAAGAACGCTGCACCCCCTGCCGAAGTCTTGGAGGTAAGAGCACCCCCTGGAAGCATGCTTGGTTTGCCCTGTCCCTCCCCACGTCCTCCTTCACCCCCTGCTCACCCTGGGCCTTCCAGTCAAGGCCACAAGCCAAGGGGAAAGAGTGGGCAGGAAAAGGTCTCTAGGAAGAATTGGTGGCCCCTGGATTGGAGCAGGGAGGCCGAGAGGCCCGGGCGGGAAATACCTATAGATCTGGGAAGCGAACGGCCAGGGACTCTTTTGGTTTGGGCGGCTGGTTAAATCTGAGCCTCTCTTTCACACCGGAGGAATCTTTTCAGCATCAACCCCCCACCCCTGTGTTTCACCGCCCCTGCTATGGAATCAGAGCCTCGCACCAGGAAGGGACCGTTCCACTTGGGTGGGAACACTGCAATATAAATAAGTTTTCTTCCTTTAAAAAAAGAGATTATTATTATCATTATTATTATTAATATTATTATTATCCTTTAGTAACAAAGAGGACCTGGAAGATCAGGAAACTGCCCTCCCACTTCTATGCCCTGTTCAATTCATTAATGCTTCTCTCTGTTTATTTTTTTTTAAACAAAAAGCAAAAAAACAAAAAACAAAACCCTCAAACGGACAATAAATACCCCATTTCCCAACCATTCCCAAGCTGCCTGAGACCCCCTGTTTCTCCCGTTCATTTGATGCTGGAGAAAGGAAAAAAACCAAAACAGAAGAATGAGCGAGAGCAGGACCCCCTAACCCTCACTGACCCCGTGGCCCAGATGGCGAAGGACGTCTTCGCCTTGGGCTTTCAGGACCACCCCTAACCAGTCGCCCCTGGACGCTAGCGGCCCCCACCCACCCCCTCCGCGGGACTGGGAAGAGTGTTAAAGGATAGATAGACACAGGGGGAATAATGGAGCTGGGGGGGGAAGAGACCGCTCTGCCCCCAGCCAAAGGTTTGGGGAGGGGGGGAGAGCACATCCGTCAAGGGAAAGGACGGCTTCTTCAGGGCCCAACCCATCTGCGCAATGGTAAAACGTTTGGCCATCTGCCACCCTGTAAACATGTGCGTCCCAACAGGTGGGTCCCTCTGTCCTGCCCCTGCACGGGTGCTTTCCGGGGTGTGCGTGGGTGTGAGGGTGGGTGTTTGTTCCTTCCTTCCTTCTTTCTTTCCTCCTCCTGTTTTTTTTGCATGGTCCAAAGATTCAAGGTTTCCCCTTTTGTCATCTTGTGCACTTTCTGGGGCGGAGTTGGACAGGTTTCGTTTTCCCGCTTGCCATTCTACCATTTGTTCTCGCCTCACACAGTGGAGTCCTCTCAGTTAATTCAGTTCCTGTTTTGTTTGTTTGTTTAAAAAAATCAACAACACCCCCCCCCGTCATGGTCTGTATGTTAAGGGGAGGCTTCCTCGGAGACAGGGCGGGGGATCTGCTCGCCGGGCGGCCTGGAAGCCTCGCAGCAGTCAGCCAGAGGAGAAACCGCCTCCCTCAGTTCCCTAACATCTTTTGCAGGCATGCCTTCTGCGTCGGGAAGCGACTCTTCAGAATCCGTGTTCAGAATGGTCTGTATGTTAAGGGGAGGCTTCCTCGGAGACAGGGTGGGGGATCTGCTCGCCGGGCGGCCTGGAAGCCTCGCAGCAGTCGGCCAGAGGAGAAACCGCCTCCCTCAGTTCCCTAACCATCGTCAGCCTCCTCCTCTTCCTCCTCCTCTTCCTCGTTCATTTCTTCCTCCTCCTCGTCCTCCTCGTGGGAGGAGTCATCGTCATCGTCTGCGTTGCTGCAGCCGGCTGGCAGCCGCTCGCCCCCCAGGCGATCTGCGGCCTCTCCGCCCGGGGAGACGGTGGTGCCCCCTGCCGTCTCCGGGGGCTTCTGGCTGAGGTCCAAGGAGTCGTTGAGTCCCACGCCCGCCGCGTTCTGTAGGAAGAAGAGGGAGCTGTTTGCATCGGTGCCGAGGTTGAGCGAGCCGTCCAGGTTGACGGAAGAGTTCTGGGCCTCGTACTCCAGGGTGGTGTGCGGAAGGCCCTCGGGGCCCGGAGAGATGGCCGGCAGCTCTCCGCGCTCCTGCTTCTCATGCTTGCGCTTGTGGGAGTCCATCTGTGACATGCCGACCACGGTGTGCTTGCAGCCCGGGTAGGTGCAGTGGAAGTGGGAGCACTTGAGCTTGTACTTGCACTCCGGCACTTCACAGTCCACACTGGAGCTGAACTGGCAGAAGCCGGCGGCGCTGATCACGTCCTGCTTGCCGTGGTGCTTGCGGTGGGCCGTCACCTTGGTGCTGTCGGTGCAGCGGAAGCCGCAGCGCAGGCAGTGGAAGTGGGTGCTGTTACCCGAGAACTGGCAGTCCGGGAAGTTGCAGCTGAGCGAGGACTTGAAGCGCTTGAAGTCGTCCAGCACCAGGTTGTCGACCCGGTCGTGGTGCTGGGCGTGCTTGTACATGTGGGTGCGGCCGCAGAACTTGTAGCCGCAGTTCTCCCGGGTGCAGTGGTAGTGCGTCACCTTCAGGGAGAACTGGCAGCTGGGGTCCTTGCAGTCCTC